TAACCATTTTTTTTAAAAAGGAAGTATCATTATGAACTCATGGATTTTTCTATTTTTTGATGTGCCTTGCTAAACTGCAGCGATTATTGCTTTTGATTTTCAAATTTTCCTTTTTTTAAAGCTTCCTGTGTCTTTTTTGACACAGCCTCTGCCATAGCTTCTTTGCTTTCTAGTAAAATAAGGGTCATCCTGTGCATCGCCTGCCTCAGATCTAGCCTCAAGCATTTCTCCAAGGACTCCTGATTTCTTTTAGTGGGACATGGTATTTAGAAACCATAATATGGGCAGCATGGATGAAAAATACTACTAAGATTTTATTGTTGCAAGGTATCTTCATAGACAACACCAGGAAATCCATTTTTAAAGAAAAATATCATGAATGAAAAATGATATTTCCATTTAAGTTAACATTTTGGGGTATATCCTTCCTTTATATTATTTCTGGACTTTTCCCTCTTACATGGAAAATTTTGGCCTTTTTTGTTTTGTTTTATCTTGCAATATAGCAATAACATTTTCCAAATGCCAATGCCAATATTACTACTACTGATAAGACCATCCAATGCTACGTAAGGTCTCTTTGAAACTTTTTTTGTCCTTGGAATAGAGATGGAGTCAGAATACTGCTTTAAAACGACTTGAAATAACTCTTTCCTCATTGTAGTTATATTACCTACTTCATATACAGCTACATACATTTGTTAGTTTGTTTTCACTGTTTAGAAATTTTTAATTTTAATACTTTTGTTTTTATTCACGTGTTAAAAATTTACATTATTCTGAAGTCAAAACTCTAAAACAAAGTCCAGCATTTTTTTCCTGTCCCATCTCTTTCATACATAGTCATTTTTATCAATTTGGAGTTTAGCCCACAGTTTCTTTAACTCTTTTTAAAAAATATATATTTTATTGATTTTTTACAGAGAGGAAGGGAGAGGGATAGAGAGTTAGAAACATAGATGAGAGAGAAACATCCATCAGCTGCCTCCTGCACACTCCCCACTGGGGATGTGCCCGTAACCAAGGTACATGCCCTTGACCGGAATCGAACCTGGGACCCTTCAATCCGCAGTCCGACGCTCTATCCACTGAGCCAAACCTGTCAGGGCCAGTTTCTTTAACTCTCAATCTGATTTTCAGCACCGCTGTGTAGGCAGACACGGATTATTATTGTTATTGTCTCCATAAGAGAGGAAGCTGCATTGCTCTGTTTAAGCCTAGAGCACTGGATCCCCATCCCGGGTTTCTTCCCTTGTCCCACACCACCCCCTACAGACAGCTTGAAGAATTACATCAAGGAGATACAGCCATCTGGTCACCCTTTGCTAGACATCGACCTAAACAGACTGCTTGCTTCAGTGGATTACTCCATCTACTCTAGAATTATGTGAAATAAGTATGCCAATTATTTCTGGATTCCAAGTGACGCTTAGTGTCTGGAGCTAGAAAAGCACATAGGTAAATACTGGTATGTGTGAGTGTGTGTGTGTGTGTGTGTGTGTGTGTGTGTATGTTGTTAGGGAAACAAATTACCGCCTAGAGCAGGGGTGGGCAACCTTTTTGTGAGTGCATGCCAAAACCAGCAAAATCTCTGACTCAAAATTCTTCTGCGTGCCAACCCTAATTTTTTGAGAACATGTTACACCTACTTGATATCTCTTAAGGTGTACGTATGTGAAGAACCTTGAAGAAATAATAAAATTCATTCGAGCGACAAAAACACAGTATATGATGATGAAAAATACATTTATTTTTAAATGTATACATGTACACTGATAGTCCGACAGAAAACTTTATGACTCCGTTTGATATTATCAGTGGGACTTTTGCTGCTGCATCACTGATGACAGAGATTTTACATCAGGTTTATATTTCGTGAGATATGCACGAGCTACTACTTTTATCAGTCAGGCTACTCCTATTACGAGACTTAACAAAAGTCATCACTGAGAACAAAGATTCACAAGCATATGTGGATGAAACCAAAACACTGGTCGGATCTAGGAAGGCAGGGAGAGTTAAGGCAGAGGCAGAGAAATTGCTCTTCCCCTCTCTCATCAATCCATGTCTATGGTGTTTAAGATAACTTGTTATGTAAAATTATTTATTTATCTAAGATGCACCTACACTGAATTTATCTGAAAAATAAAAAGTCGATATTAAGAAAAAAATTGTAAATGGAAGATTATAAGAGAGGGTTTCGCGTGCCAGCAAAAGTTACTGGCGTGCCATGTTTGGCACGCGTGCCAGGGGTTGCCCACCCCTGGCCTAGAGCTATCATTTTCTGCTAACAACTGCCTAGTGATGTGGAACTGAGGCTCACGTGGTATTCATGGCATCACCCTTCAGGCAAATGTGGGACCATTTACAAGAGGAAAGCAGTTTTGAAATTATTGGTGACAGTTCAGAAAACCACATAGCAGAGCCTGTTAAGTCCCAATTGTAGTTTGGGAACCTTTAACAATAAAATCTCATAAAGTGTTCCATGAGTTTAAAACGACTGTAGGTTTAGCTTTTTTCTTTCTAATTTAATTTAATTTTAAGTTGTATTGACAACTAGGAAGAAAATAGAGACTACGAATTTCCTAACTGGGCGAGTGCACAAGTATGAGAGAGTAAAATCCTAAGGTATTATCACCAAAGGGTTTCTTCCTAACCCCCTAGCCCCACCCTCCTCACTCTCTAGAGAACTGGCCTGGGGAGGGAGGGAGAGAGAGAGAAACATCGATGTGAGAGAGAAACATTGATTGGTTCCCTCCCACATGCACCTGACCAGGGCTGTGATGGAACCTGGGAACTTGCAACCCAGGGACTGCCCTGACTGGGAATCCAACCAAGACCTTCCCGTGGCCGGTGTGGCTCCAACCCACTGAGCAACACCAGCCAGGGCTAAAATTTGTTATTATTTTTAAAACAACAACACCAGTGACCTTTTAACAACAATATCAGAGAACAGTGAGAGAAGCTCTGACAAGGAATCGAACCCACAACCTTTTGGTGTACCTGATGATATTCCAACAGATGGAGCCACTCAGCCAGGGTTATTGTTTGTTGATTTTAAAAAACAAACTTTTCAAACTTAGGGTACTTTTTGCCCCCTGGAGCTGCTAATTGCTTCATCAGCTGGGGCAGCTCCCCACTGATTTGGAAGCTAGCTGTCCCTGGGGCAAGGCCGAGGAACACGGGCCACAGTTGGCCACTAGGTGTCTCTGGTCACTCCCGTAGACAGCTGCCAGAGACCTTAAAACCAGCCGATGTGGGCAGAGCTGCGGTTGTGGTAGATGTCTTATCTCTGTGCTCATCTGCCTTCTTGATTACTGTCTTTGACCCAGGTCTGCCTTTCCCTGGCCTCAGGGCCTCTGAACAGTCCTTGTGCTTTGGGGCCTATGTGGGTCCCTTTGGGTGGCTGTGGAGGCATATCCCAGCACAGAGGTTTCTGAGGTCTGGACGCACAGATGCCTAGCCATCAGCACACAGGGCTCCAGCCAGCCTGCTGCTGGCCACCAAGCCTGTCGAGGTTGCTCTGGTCCTGTTAGAGCTGGCAGCACAGCATCCTGAGTGCAAGTTAGTATCAGGGGTGGGCAGGGCAGGGACAGGCATTACAGAAATGGGAGTGTGGGGGAGGGGAATTGGACGCCTCAGGGCTCACTTTCCAGGGGAGGAGACAGGTAGATAAGCAAACACTCACAGGTGTGATAGTGGGACCCTGCTTCTGTAGGGACACGGGGATCGGGGAGTGTGTGGAGGGCCAGGGAAGAAGAGATTTCATGGAGGCGTAGACGTCTGGGCTAGGTCCAGCAGGATGTGGTCAGTTGATGGTATCACTTTGTCTAAAATCAGGGACAACCTCTCTTCCCCAGATGGGGTCCTATTGCAATTATGACCTATGTGGTTTGGAATCTTACTGATAGAAACTTAAAAAGCAACATTAAACACAGTGAGCTGGGCGGGGAGAAGGTAATTTAGAGAGAATTCTATTACTTTGAAGAAAACCAGGGTAGTGTGTTTGTTGCATTGATTTGTAGCAAGTTGAGAAAATGTGTGATGATGATGTTTCCGTGTCTGCAACGTGAGATAATAAGGGCTGTTGGGAGGATTAACTGAAGAACCGTATGCCAAACAGCTGGGATCCTGCTTGGCTCATGTAAGTGCTAAGGAAATATTTAATCTTGTAATTATTTTTATTCTTAAAACCAGCACCATTTCCCAGTTCTATGTTTCTCTTCTTTCTAATTTTCTCACATCAGATATTTCAGAGCCCAACGTCTCCCCTGCATCTACAACCTCTTCAGTTTTATCTCTCGTCATTGTTCCCCCAGATCCTCATTGAAGAAATTGAGTTAATAATCCTCCCATGGCCTCTCTTTCCTCCCCTGGTCTCTCAACCTCTTTTCTGGCCAGGCTTCCTATTCTTTGCCTCCCGAATCCCTGGATTCTGATGGCGGAAGTCACCTCCAGCAGAGTCTAGGCTTGAGTCAGACCGTTTCCCACATCATGTTGAGTCAGTCAGACCCTTTCCCACATCATGTTGTGGGGATCTTTTCCTTTCATTGGTGTGGGGCTGAAACCAGCACCCTTCCTCCTCCTGTGCAGGAAATGGAACTGCTGTGTTTTCTGGCCTAGAGTCAGGATCTGCATCTTCCCCAAGGTAGTGATGGCCTGAGAAACAGAGCCAAGGTAGTGATGGCCTGAGAAACAGAGGGGCGGAGACACTCCCAGAGCAACCTGGGTTGGAACAAAGTCAAAGAGCCTCGTGGTGCTGAGGAAACAAAAACTTTATTTGTTCACAGGGTCACACACAGGTGATGGGGTAGATGGTGCAGGTTCTGGCAGAGCTGGAGGTGGGCACGCTGTGGGGCCCTGGAGTGTGGAGAGAAGGAGCCACTGAGACTCTCAGCTGCTCTCCAGAGACACCTCAGCGACGGCCAAGGGCACAGATGCGGGTGCTGAGAGGACACACACTAGGCAGAGGCTGGTCCCTGGAACTTTGTCTCCTCTCAAGTCGCTTGTCTCAGCATCAGATCCAGGTCAGCAGCAGCCCCCAGAGCTGTGGCCACAGCCCGAGCCCCCGGGATGCTGACCACTGCCAGTGTCACAGGACTCGGAGCTCTGGCGCCTGCAGCGGTGGGACCTGCGGTGATGCCTGTGGTGGCTCAGGCAGCAGCCACCCTCGGAGGAGCTGGGGCCACAGCCGCCCCCAGAGCTCAGAGCACAGCCAGAGGGGGCTGGGGGCAAACACTGTGCTGGGCTCTTTGGGGGGCACTTCGGGGAGGGGCACTTGGGGGTGCACTTGGGAGGGGGCTGGCACTGCTGCTGGTTCTGCTGGCAGGACATCTCGGCAGGAGGTGAGTGAGCCTGGATTGGTTAAAGGAAAAGGTCAGCGCAAAAGCTCCAGGCCAGTGTCTCCTCCAGGAACAGTCTGATAAAGGCCCTGCTCCTCACACCAGCTGCCTCCTCAGCTATGACGCTCAGGAGGAAAACAGAAACTGCTCTCAACTTAAAATGAGCTGAAAAGACAGTTCCCTCACTTGGCCCTGTTTCCAAAAGGACTCCGCATCTGCCTGTCTTCCTGGAAACATGGAAGCAAACGCACCCCTGTAGCAGCGCCTGGAGAAGGTCTCTGGCAAGTGTGCACCTTCCAGGGTAAGGAGTGGAGGGGATGCTGACCGCCAGGGCCCTGCCAGTCACAGACCTGGATGCATCCCACAGAGGTTCCTTGCTCACTGTCCCTCTCCGATGCCCTGCTGCCCTCCAAGCTCTCTTCGTGCTGCTTCCACACGGACCCTTCTGAATCCCTCTTCCCCACTGAAGTCTGGGCCGTCTTCCCATCACTCCCAGCTGAGGTCTGTCCCCTTATACACACTCACCCGGTGCAGAGGAGGCAGGAGAAGTGTGTTCCTGAGGAGGCTGTGGATGGGGAGCCCAGGGCAGGAGCCCTTTTATCCTGTGCTGGGTTGTGACACAGGGCCTGGGCATGCTGCTGCTTTCACAAGCAGGGGGAGGTGACAGTGCCACACACTCCCCTCCCAGGTCCGCAGCTTCTTCCTGCACACATGCCAAGATGCCTGGCCAGAGGGAACCAGGAAACCTTGATGACTGCTCCCCGGGTATGCTGGGGTCCTGCCATGTCTCCTTTCACTCATTCAGCTCAGACGCTTTAACTTTGGCTCTGCCCCTTGCATTTGTGCCTGACAGTGAGGATGTAAATAAAGATAGATGCATATGACACATTTCCTGATCTTGAGCATTTCACGTTTAACCGGACAGACATCAGAGAAGTAAACATTTATCTTTGTTACCATCTGATCGTCCTTTGATATCTGTCTTTCAGGCATTAGTTCCCATTGCTCTGCATAGTGCCAAGGGTCATGATTTGCTCAGGTATAATCAGCTCCTGTTGGTGATCTGAGATCACTGGACCACGGGAATGAGATGGGCTGAGAAATCAATGGAGGGTGGGATCCAGGCCCTGTCTGGGCAGGTGGGGTCCCGAAGTGAACTGAAGCTAAAGTAGAATTATATAAATTTGCTGACAAAATACCACAATTATCTACAATAGTTGAGATCATGAGACTCATATTTAGTATAAAAAATCCAATTTTTTCATATTTAGTTTTCTGTGAGATATATGGTATTGATTATAAAAATGATCTATGAATGTAAAATATTGAAGATTATTATTGGAAGTCAGGAAGATGATTTCAGTGTGTGGCTTATGGTGAGGTTGATGATGGTGGTGATGTTATGTGCATGACATTTAATAGAACAGACCTGATAATTTCTAAGGTTGTGTAGGATGATTTTTGAATAAAATTTGAATCCCATTTTTCCATTGGATTGTATGATAGTACTAGAGGTGAATTTCTCATTGACCTCATCTCTACTATCACAATGACTGCTATTTTTCCCCCTGAATATTACATTCAGAACTGCTGCAAACTATAGTCATATGTATTACAATTAAATGGCTTGGGCTAGGTAATTTTGGGGAAGGCTCCAGGAAGTGAAGTTTTGCTCTGTATTTGGTGCTTTCAGAAAGCAGGGGGGCATTTATATGATTAGGTATCAATAATTTTTAGCTAGAAAGCAGGATTAATGGGGCAAGACTAAAGCTGCAATTGATAAAGAAGTAACAGCGCCTCATGTCCACTGATAAAATGGGATGTTTGATCGTTTTTTTGTGTGATTTGGATAATGCTCTTATTTTGTTGGTGCTCAGAATGGTCTTATTTTTGTCTTGCTCCCTCATGGTCACAAAGTTAGCTTGTCTAATGTTGGAGTTTTGTGAACTTGCTTTTATTCAATCAGAGAAGACGTGGCCTAGCTCCTAGAACCAGCCCAGCTTGTTGCCAGCAATCTGGGACTGTTTCCCCCTTTCTCAGCAATGATTATGGGCCAGGCAATGGGAATACAGCATTTAAAAGGAGAGGTATGGTGTCCCTTTTCAGGGAAGGTACAGTCTAGCAGATCAAAAAAATATAGAAGAATTTGTTACACCCGTGACACATGGCCCCCATATAGAATTCAAGTGCCATGGGGCATGTGAACAAAAAGTTAGAGTTTAGACTTTGCTGCAAAAGTGAATATTTTCCCATATCTTGTGATTATCAGGAGGTAGTCTTATCCTTACAATAACAGCAAGGATGGAAGCCATTTTTCCACCATGGGTTTCAACCCTGAGTCATTGGTGATGGTGGGAGTGGGGGTGGAAGATAGTGGTGTGGGGTGGGATAGTAGAAGAGAGAAGAGGGAGCTGTAGTTGAAAAAGTAGCACATATACACTTTGGGATAGTTTCAAAGGATCAAAATATTCTTGTCTACGACTGTCAATGGCCAGTTTTCCCTGTCCTTCATGAAACATCAGTGGATGTCTCTCAGGCTTTGCCCAAGCCCCATCCCTGATGCCTGCCTTGGAAGGTTCCACACAGGACTCATTAATGAGATGAGGCTCATTCATCTCACCTCCACCTTGATGAGTTGCTCCTGCCTCTCACTCCTCCTTTTCCTCATGAGATCAGGTGCTCAGCAGGCCCCACACACAGAACAGCCATCCTGTGATGACAGAGAATCACAATAAGATCATGGCCTGGTCACTTCTCCCAGAGCAGAGGGCAACTCCCCAAGAGTCACCAATCTTAGGAGTCCCATCCCAAGGAGCATTGGCTCCCTGTGGTCCTGAGACATCAAGGAAATACAGAGACTGGTTTGGCTGGATGAATCTTGGGAGAATTTCATGACTTAGTCATCGCAGTTGGTGTAGGAGTGGGCAGTGCAGGATCTCAGATCCAGCTCCTTGGAGTACATTTTGGACATTCCATAGCAGAAGGCAAGGATGAGTCAACAAACACGAAGTCCTTCCTTTGCTTAGAACTCCAAGTTCCTTGTCAGTTCTGTCTCCTCCCTCCCCCATAACAATGGCATTCCGTGGCAAGAAGCTGAGCCATTCTTAAGGAAAATGGGAAGAGGTAGTCAGAAAGTGTCACCTGACTAAGGATCTTATGTGGATCCCAGTTAACCTCTCATAGCTGAAGCGAGGCAGCTCCCAGAGCTGAGGCTCGGCAGGAAGAGACTGTAGGTGGGCCCTGAGCAGGATATGTGAGTGGCACTTAAGGAGCCACTTGGAAGTGGCTTGATACTACCCTTAGTTTTGCTTCCAGGACATCTTGGAGGAAGTTTAGTGACTCTAGAAGAAGTAAAAAAGCAAATAATTGCATGTGATTGTATCAAGTTAAAAAAATGACTCCCTATTTATTTCAGAGCTTGAGGCTCTGAACCCGCAGCATAGCGAAAATTCCTGAGCAAAGAGGAGTAAGGAAATAGAAAGTGATGAGTTGAGGAATTCTGATTCCAGTGAGAACTGACAAAATCTTGGACCTCTTTTTTTATTTTGTTCGCAGGCAGGAAATGGGTGGTGGGATTGGAAGAGGGTAAGGGTGAGTCTTGTTTAGAGGGCAGCTTGTTGCACTCTCCAGCCCCAGGCCCTTTGCATCTCCATGGAAGGTGCCAAGAGTTTTGAGGAAAGAAGGAATTTAAGAACCCCCAAGATTGTCCAAATATCTGTACCTCAGGTCCCCTGTAGGAGCCCTTCTTGATTTTCATTCACTTATTCATAAAAATCACTTATTCTTTCAAACCATTTATATTGAGATATTACATGTTGTGCTGGGCCAAAGGTGAGTCAAGAGTGAAGAAGATGCTCCTCCATTCTTAGGCTGACAGGGTAGTGGGACTGACAGGCAAGTGATGAAATACGCATGAGCCAGCTGAGGATGCTGTAATACATGTGTGTGTGGATAGTCCACATGTCTGAAGTCAGAGTTTTGGGGTGTCAGTCCCCTGTTGCTCTTCAGTGACTCAGTGAATAATGCACCGGATGTTGTCACCGGCTATCACTTGGGATGGTCCATGAGTTGAACAGAGATGTGGAGCCTGTAACCTGTCCAAGCACAGAAAACCCAGACAGGGCAAGTAGAGGCGCTCATGGAGCCATGTGCCTCTCAACACTCTATGTTCCTCTTCAGCTCCATCACCCAGTTTGATATGAGAAAGCACCCATTTCACCTTTCCTGAATAGTTCCTTCTAAACAATATCAATTGATGGGGTCCTCAACATTCTGAAGGAAATGAGCACTCTCCCATAGTTCAGGGTGAAGCCTACAGATATCCCCTCAGCAAGGGACTCCTTCTGGAGACAGAAAAATATCAGAGAGGAGGGTCAATACTAATGCTAAGTCTTCCCCCTTTCCACATCCCAAGCCCCAATTTTGTGTGACACAGTGCAATTCAGTCTCCGAAAGGCACTTCAAAATAAATCATGGAATTCCTATGCTTTAAAGTGGGTAAGTTGTAAAGTGCAAACCCGTGTCTATCAGCAATAAACTATAAAGTACAGAAAATATTTCATTAAAATTACTATTTAATTTTTAAAAATATTTTTTTATTGAATTCAGAGGGGAGAGAGAGAGAGAGAGATAGAAACATCAATGATGAGAGAGAATCATTGATTGGTTGTCACCTGCATGCCCCCCACTGGGGATCAAGCTTGCAACCCAGGCCAACGCTCTATCCACTGAGCCAAACTGGCTAGGGCACCATTTAATTTTAATATAAGTGATTAATGTTTGTTGAAGTTCTGAATGTAATCTTTTTGAAAAAAATAGCAAAATGCAGTCACTGTAATAGTAGAAATGAGGTCAATGAGAAATTTATCCCTAGTACTATCATACAATCCAATGAGACAATAGGGTTCAGATTTTATTCAAAAATCATCCTACACAAACCTTAGAAATTATCAGATCTGTTCTATTGGATATGATGCGCATAACATCACCACCATCATCAGCCTCACCATTAGCCACACATTGAAATCATTCTCCTGACTCCAAATAACTCTCTTAAATATTTCACACTCATAGGAAATTTTTATAATCAATATTATATATCCCACAGGAAACTAAATATGAAAAAACTGGATTTTTATACTATATATGAGTCTCATGATCTCCACTATTGTAGATAATTCTGGTATTTTGTCAGCTCATTTATACTAGTATAATTCTACTTTAGCTTCAGTTCTCTTGGGGGCTCCACCCACCAAGACAAGGCCTGGATCCCATTCTCCATCCATTTCCCAACTTGTCTCTTTCCCGTGGTCCATTGGTCTCAGATCACCAACATCCCCAGAGATGAGGAGCTGATTATACCTGAACAAATCATGACCCTTGGCACTATGCAGAGCAATAGGGAACTAATGCTTGAAAGACAGAGGTTTCAAAGGACAAATCACATGGTAACAAAGATAAATGTTTACTTCTCTGATGTCTGTCCAGTTAAACGTGAAATGCTCAAGATCAGGAAATGTGTCATATGCATCTATCTTTACATCCTCACTGCCAGGCACAAATGCAAGGGGCAGAGCCAAAGTTAAAGCGTCTGAGCTGAATGAGTGAAAGGAGACATGGCAGGACCCCAGCATACCCGGGGAGCAGTCATCAAGATTTCCTAGTTCCCTCTTGCCAGGCATCTTGGCATGTGTGCAGGAAGAAGCTGCGGACCTGGGAGGGGAGTGTGTGGCACTGTCACCTCCCCCTGCTTGTGAAAGCAGCAGCATGCCCAGGCCCTGTGTCACAACCCAGCACAGGATAAAAGGGCTCCTGCCCTGGGCTCCCCATCCACAGCCTCCCCAGGAACAGCTTCTCCTGCCTCCTCTGCACCAGGTGAGTGTGTATAAGGGGACAGACCTCAGCTGGGAGTGATGGGAAGAGGGGCCCAGACTTCAGTGGGGAAGAGGGATTCAGAAGGGTCCGGTGTGGAAGCAGCACGAAGAGGACCTTGGAGGGCAGCAGGGCATAGGAGAGGGACAGTGAGCAAGGAACCTCTGTGGGATGCATCCAGGTCTGTGACTAGCAGGGCCCTGGCGGTCAGCATCCCCTCCACTCCTTACCCTGGAAGGTGCACACTTGCCAGAGACCTTCTCCAGGCGCTGCTACAGGGGTGCGTTTGCTTCCATGTTTCCAGGAGGACAGGCAGATGCGGAGTCCCTTTGGAAAGAGGGCCAAGGGAGGGAACTGTCTTTTCAGCTCATTTTAAGTTGAGAGCAGTTTCTGTTTTCCTCCTGAGCGTCATAGCTGAGGAGGCAGCTGGTGTGAGGAGCAGGGCCTTTATCAGACTGTTCCTGGAGGAGACACTGGCCTGGAGCTTTTGCGCTGACCTTTTCCTTTAACCAATCCAGGCTCACTCACCTCCTGCCGAGATGTCCTGCCAGCAGAACCAGCAGCAGTGCCAGCCCCCTCCCAAGTGCACCCCCAAGTGCCCCTCCCCGAAGTGCCCCCCAAAGAGCCCAGCACAGTGTTTGCCCCCAGCCCCCTCTGGCTGTGCTCTGAGCTCTGGGGGCGGCTGTGGCCCCAGCTCCTCCGAGGGTGGCTGCTGCCTGAGCCACCACAGGCATCACCGCAGGTCCCACCGCTGCAGGCGCCAGAGCTCCGAGTCCTGTGACACTGGCAGTGGTCAGCATCCTGGGGGCTCGGGCTGTGGCCACAGCTCTGGGGGCTGCTGCTGACCTGGATCTGATGCTGAGACAAGCGACTTGAGAGGAGACAAAGTTCCAGGGACCAGCCTCTGCCTAGTGTGTGCCCTCTCAGCACCCGCATCTGTGCCCTTGGCCGGCGCTGAGGTGTCTCTGGAGAGCAGCTGAGAGCCTCAGTGGCTCCTTCTCTCCACACTCCAGGGCCCCACAGCGTGCCCACCTCCAGCTCTGCCAGAACCTGCACCATCTACCCCATCACCTGTGTGTGACCCTGTGAAAAAATAAAGTCTTTGTTTCCTCAGCAACACTATGCTCTTTGACTTTGTTCCAACCCAGGTTGCTCTGGGAGTGTCTCCGCCCCTCTGTTTCTCAGGCCACCACTACCTTGGGGAAGAGGCAGATCCTGACTCTAGGCCAGAAAAAACAGCAGTTCCATTTCCTGCAAAAGGGCCTGTGGGAACACTTTGTGTTGGGGCAGGAGGAGGATGGGTGCTGGGAGGAGGATGGGTGCTGGTTTCAGCCCCACACCAATGAAAGGAAAAGATCCCCACAACATGATGTGGGAAAGGGTCTGACTCAAGCCTAGACTCTGCTGGAGGTGACTTCCGCCATCAGAATCCAGGGACTGGGGAGGCAAAGAATGAGAAGTCTGGCCAGAAAAGAGGTTGAGAGACCAGGGGAGGAAAGAGAGGCCATGGGAGGATTATTAACTCAATTTCTTCAGTGAGGATCTGGGGAAGAATGACGAGAGATAAAACTGAAGAGGTTGTAGATGCAGGGGAGACATTGGGCTCTAAAATATCTGATGTGAGAAAATTGGAAAGAAGAGAAACATGGAACTGAGAAATTGTGCTGGTTTTAAAAATAAAGGTAATCTTAAGGTCAAATATTTCCTTAGCACATTTATGAGCCAGGAACTGGTTCTTGAGTTAATCCTCCCAATAGTGCTGGGATGTGGGTACTCTTATGGTCTCAGATACGGAAACATCATCATCACCACACATTTTGTCAACTTGCAGAGCATCCCAATGACTCAAGAGAGACTAAAACGAGGTATTGCAGAAGCCTCTGGCCAAAGTCTCTTCTCTGATGCTTTTTCTGACCCCAGGCTGTACTTCTGAACTAAGAAATTTAAGAGGAAATGAAAATTGAACTTAACCTGGACAGATGCTCTTTCCTATTTGGGCCTTTTGATAGAAGAGAAGACTGACTCTTTTCTAATTGGATTTCTATGGCATCTTGTCTCTGTGTAATCATGGAAGAGAATAAACTCTTTTGACAAAAACTTCCTCAAGGATGTCTCAGGAGATGAATACATCTCTCAGAACATGTTTAGAAAGAGAATGAGGACATATTGAGGACCCATGGCCTTGTCAGTCACAGAACCGCTCAAAAGTCCAATAAAGATGGTTACTAACCCCATAGTTCTCTTGTTGCCTCCATTGTGGACCCTCTGCTTCCCTCTCCTCTGATGGAGGCCTGGGCTTCTCTGACAGGCCCTCCTAGGTCAGGTCCTGCATTTGATGGACATTCAGCTGAGTTCGTAGAAGCCAGTAAAAGCTGATTCTGAGTAGGCTATGGACTGAGAAGTCCAGGGCAGGAACTCCTGGGTTTGTGATGCTCAGCATGGGTATGTTGCTGGAGGAGGGTGATAGCACCTAACGCTCCCAGCTCAGTTCTGAGCATAAGACAATATGTTTGACAAAAGGGAACTAGGAAAACCTGGTACTTGCTCAAATACTTCCCACGCAGGCCTACACATGTACTTGACAGAGGCCATGTCACATGTTCATACTTTGCAGTGGAATGTAGTCTGGATATGACACACATGACCTAAAATAAATGAATGTCTAGCTGGACAGACAGACAAGTGAATAAGGAGTCTACCCCCTGTGATAAGTGCTATAAAATAAGTGACTAGCTACAAAGTCCATAGTTCTTTGGGTGCCCTCTTTTTCTCCTGCATGTTCTCTGGTAATATTGGGCACCTAATATAATAATCTCTTGTTTTTGAGGGTGGTGACTATGCTGAGAACACTGGACATTCTGGGTGAGCTGTGTGTGGAAAATGGATGGAGGGGTTAGGCCAGGGGAGGTGGGCTCAAGAGAGAAACTTGCTGGCACTCAGGAAGGAACGTGGGACACCTGGGCAGGACAGGTGTGGAGCCAACTCAGGGTTCGATCGAAGGGTAAGTATAAAGAAGGGAACTACAGTTGGAGTGATAAGAATCACAATTAGCATATTACAGAAATCCTTGAGATTAAAATTTTATGCTGAATTATACTGAACTGCACTGAGGTTTTTGTCTGGGATGTAGATATGGGATCTGCCTGAGATTCAACACAGCCCAGAAAGCAGTGGGTGAATGAAAATGAAACTTTCGTTTTGTAACTCTGAGTTCAGGTGTTTGATTAAGCAGTTAGAAGCCCTCTGGCGATCTCTGTTCCAAGGATTTCTCCGGGGTCTTTCTCCCTTTCTACTACCAGCCAATCAGTAACGCAATTCCAAGGCTCCAGCCATGTTCCCCTAATTGCCTTTAGAACCTTCCTTCTTGTTGTAATTATCCACGACACCAAGAAATCAGTGTTTTGTGGTCAAACAGACTGTGAAATATTTCACAAGATTTCAACCCCGAAAGACTTTTTGTCTGTAAATCTCGCCTCACCTCCAGGCCCTCACTTCCTATGAGTCACCTGTGGGTGATCAGGAATCCATCTTCTCTCTTCTCCACAGTGCCCCAGGCTCCAGCATCCCCTGTAGGTCAGCTCAGGGCCTGGAAGTGCTGAGGAATGGGTGACATCACTGAGCATTGAATGCGGGGGTTTCATGTGCCAAGGATAGAAGGCAGGTGGGTGGTGTTGAAAGGAAGAGTCATTAACTCACAAAGGCATACACCCTGACCTTACAGCATCCAGGAAGGAGGAGCTAAGCAGTTACAGAGAGAGGAGGAGGGGCTTTGAAGATTAGAGAGAAGGAGATCCTTGGAATAACCTAGAACCTTCTATAGGAACTTCTTAGAAGATCAAGTCCCATGAAGTAGAGGAGAGACAGTTGGAGGGTGTGAGCATCTTGTGTGCTACTCACCTGTCATCCACAGAATAACCCTAAATCTTTCTGTCTCAACTCCTTCCTTCCTTCCTCCCTCCTTCCCTCCCTTCCTTCCTCCTTTCCTTCCTCTCCCCCATCCTTTCCTTCCTTCCTTAACATATGTTGAGCTGATCCAGCTTCTTGTAATCTCCATTCTAAATCCTCCATATCTTTCAAGGCAGGTACCAAGAATTTTCCTATGAGAAAAGTCACAGGACTCTTCAATACCCTGTCTTAGCCTTCCTGTAGGCCTGCCATTTTAATTTTTTTCATCCATCCATCCATCCATCCATCCATCCATCCATCCATCCATCCACTCAGTAATCAAGCAGGATGTGTTGCACTGCTATGGCGGCACACCATGCATTCTGCTATACACAAGAAATTGGGAAATGAGTAAGATTTACTCCCTGTTTTTGAGTAGATCATAGTATAGTGGGGCAAATGCACAAGTAATAAAATAAGCATGATCTGATGTGGTCAGTGCTGCAACGTGTGTGTGGCGTCCACAGGCCTCAGGTCAGAGCCTTGGGTATCAGTCCCTTTTTGCCTGCAGTAACTCTGAGGGGGAGGATGCATCCAGTGCTTGTCACCTGCTATCATCTAAGGGTTTTAGTTGAGATGAAGTCATGGGCCTGTAAGAACAGTGCTTGGACAAGTCCTGGGAACAGAGGTGGAGATCCTTGGTCTGCCCGTGGGCAGCCAGCCCAGATGGCAATGCCAAGAGGAACTCATAGAACTTGGGGGTCCTCCCAGGAGGGATAACACGTTGCTAAGGGTGTTACTGAGGGGACACCGGAGAGATCTCAGACAACATGTAAGGGGCTGAATAATGGGCGTGATAAGCATTCATTTAAAGTCAGAGATTCCTGAGTTTGAATTCTTGATTCTCCACTAAACAGCTGGTATCTGGAGAAAGAAAAAGCTATAAAGTGATGGAGGCACCATAGACCAAAGATGTGAGGAATAAAATCATAGATAGAGACAAGAAATCTAGCTGCAGTGACATGGTTTGCTAAGACACATCTGAGGACCATTGTGTCAGTACCATAGTGACTCTGATATTTATTCTAAGAGCTCCAAGAGTAGTTTGGGGAGGGAGTGATTCCAGTTGGCTAGGGCGGCTTAGGGAGATTGGCTGAGCTATGAATCATATTTAATGGGTGTGGTGATGATGAGGGTGAAATGGTGAAGCTTATGTACACCAAAGTAGGAGTGATTGACCAAGAATTTTGGAAATTACCATTATGTAAGCTGTGTGGTATTTTTCCATTGCATTTTATTTTAACTTTAGAGATGCATTGTTCTCTGAAACATCACATTTAAGAATGAAACAAGTCACCCTAGCCCAGGGGTGGGCAAACTTTTTGACTCGAGGGCCACAATGGGTTCTTAAACTGGACCAGAGGGCCGGAACAAAAGCATGGATGGAGTGTTTGTGTGAACTAATATAAATTCAAAGTAAACATCATTACATAAAAGGGTACGGTCTTTTTTTTTTTTTAGTTTTATTCATTTCAAACAGGCCGGATCCGGCCCGCGGGCCGTAGTTTGCCCACGGCTGCCCTAGCCGGTTTGGCTCAGTGGATAGAGCGTCGGCCTGAAGAAGGGTTCAGTTTCAATTCCAGTCAAGGGCACATACCTTGGTTGCAAGCTCTTCCCTCCCCAGCCTGGGCCCTGGTCAGGGTACGAGCTGGAGGCAACCAATTGATGTGTTTCTCTCACATCGATATTTCTCTCTGTCTTTCTCTCTCTCTCTGCCACTCTCTCTAAAATCAAAGGAAAAATATCCTCGGGTAAGGATAAAAAAAAAAGAATGAGATGAATCTTTCAAATCACAAATATTCATTACAATATTGACAAAGCATTATAGTTTTTTTATAAACATTGATGAAAATTATGTGTCTGATTATCCTGTTATAGGAAGACCTATAGGGATAACTATCCCTTTTTAGGTGATCAAATAAGTAATATTCATGGGAAGAAAGGAGCACCCCTGGGAAGATGTCTTTTCACTGTGGCTGTGGCATGAGGGAGGTGGGGAGACTGGGAAGGGCCTAAGGACAGAGGCCTGCTCATGCACTAACATTGTCTCATTAGTATGAACAACTTATCCCTCTCCTTCCTTGGCTTTTGATGTGGAAGCTAGCAAATGCTCATGTTCTTTTTTGTCACCACCAAAGCCACTATCTCTGTGTCAATATTTTATCCAA